ATGTGACAGACAAAGAAACAGTCTGAGAGAGGTAAAGTGAGGTAAAGAAAGCTGGTAGTTGAACCATGGCCGTCTGACTTAAATCCTGACTTTTTTTTCACTCTACGGTGCAGAGCTTGGGCAAGCAGTCAGGCTCAGAGAAGCTGCCAACTTGTTTATATGTTTTATTTTTCAATTATGTGACACTGGTTCTTTATGGATTGTTTGGATTTGTCTGTTACTACCAGCAATTCAGAGGGTTGTATATCATTCTCCATTGGCTATAAGCTCGTGAACAAATTATGCTACACATTTCATCCATTCAGCTGTTTAAATTATCCAGCTAACCAAATTCTTGTTTTGCTTCTTGCAAGGTCCTGCTTGACTTGAAAAAGGAAAAAAAAAAAAAGGTGTTTCATTTCTCTCACTATATTTAGCTGCCTGGGACAGTAACTTCTACCTGCTCTCTGAGACATTGGTCCAAAGCCAAGGCTGTTGTGCAAGAGAAGGGTGAAGTGGCTGGATTTAGACTGTATCTTGTGTCAGCCATTTTGACAAGGACAAAATTTTGAGGGAAATACAGCCACACATGGCTGTAGGAAGTGCTGATTTTCAAACCCACTTGGTGTGGTTTGCTGTTTTTCCCCACTAGGTTTTCTTGATCAGCTTGTCTTTGAACCACTGATTATGTTAGACAACTCTTCTTTGAAAGGTGATATATTCTCTGCTTGAATCTGTGGCAAATCCTTTCTCCTTGCCCTTATTTTCTGACCATGGACCTATTGAAAATGTTTCTAGAAAAGTTACCACATTTTTTTTTTCTTGAAATTCCTAAGGAGAGCCAAATCTCTCTTCTTTAAATTGATTATGGTATTCAGCAATTTAGATTGTGTTTAAATATCAGAAGAAGGCCGATGGTAGCAAGGCTGGTTGAACTCCGAAGCATCTTCCTCTTTGTTTTGGCCATCCATGTTGCTGGTCAAGTTGATACCACAGACATGAGTTATTCATTAGGAGGAAGACAGCAGAGTGGATCGTGAAGAACTCAAGTCACAGGGAAGAACCCCCCACGCCATTGTCAGTAACTTTACCTAATCAGTATCCCTTACCTAATCTCAGCCCTTGAGAGTGTAATTTCAATTAACCTCCTCTGAAGCTGCTCCAAGTGGGGTGGAAATAGCTTATTGTCATTTACTGTTTCAGAAACCTCCATACTTGCTGGGAGATAAGGATCCTTAGAGTAAATCATAAGAACTTCTGTATCTTGATTGCTGCTAAGGTATCTCGAGGACCTAAAGTGGCTCATCAATGAAATAGTGCTTGTGAAAATTTTAGAACAAAACCCAACAGTTCAAAGTGTATTCTTCTTGGGAAAAACTATTCCCAGCCCTGCGCCCTGCACTGTCCCAATCCCTGTCACACAGAACAGGACAAAGGAAAGTGATAGAACAAGACCCAGGGAATGGGAACAAACCTAGCTATTGGCCTAGCCACTCCTGCTTAGCACCTGTCATTACTTTAGAGGAGAGGACACTCAGTCTAACTACCCAAACCTACCTCTGTGTAACAGCTGCTGTGTTGTTTCCATTTCATCCAATCACTTAGTAAGCTGTTTCCTGCTTATCCATGGTTGACTGGATCTTTCACAAATCCTCTTTGTTTGAAAGCCCCAGTTTAAGGCCCTATTCCATTACCATGCAACAGCCTCTACTGTCTGAGTGAAGGGCTCTAGCTGGTTGGGTCCCAGGTACCTGATGACATGAAATGAGGTGACAATTCCACAAAAGTGCTCTGGACAGGGGGAATGACATTGCCCCTGTCAGAACTGGCAAAAAGATGCCACTCTTGGGGAATATTGTCACCAGTGGATGCTGCTCACAGCCTTTGTTCATGCAGATGAGTCACACAGATCATCAAAATCCTCCAGAATGCTTTTAAAACATATAATTTCCTGTGCCCTGTCACCTGATAGTCTAATTCTGTAAGTTTGACGTGGCACCCAGGAATATATTTTCTAAAGCTTTGTAGATGATTGATTGCAGGAGCCTTTGACCTAAACAATTGATCCTTCCCAAAGGAATGATTTATCCTGAATAAATGGGGAAGGTTTTGAACTTGACATGAAGGACATGAAGTGAAGGGTTCTATGTAGCTACCAGACTGCCCAGGGTAAGGCCTATTGTCTAGCTGGGTGAGTCTGGGCAAGTGACCTAACCACTGCTTTGATCTTCATCTCAGTTTCTTTGCTTACCTAAGTTCTTTTTTTTTTTTTTTTCATTTTAAACACAAGGAAACAATAACATTTGACTCACAGAATTAAAGAGACAACATGTGCCAGATATGTAGAAATGCTCAGTATTTATAAGTTGCTTTCATTATAATTATTATTGCTTGCTCTGAGCCATAGAACCATTGCCTACCTGATTGCAATTTTATAAATTTTGTCATCTACATGAGTCCAGTTCACTGTATCCTTTGGACACTGTCCTTGTGCTGCCCAACACTTCTGATCTCAACTGCCTAGTTCCCCTTCTCCCACCAACTGTACAGACATTGGCTGTTTTTTGATAAATCTCTTGTGCAACCAGTTTCATTTATGATAATTTGTCCTCTTTATTTTCCCCCCTGACAGAATTATTTAAGTTCCTTCGGATACATAGCCTTTAATTTCCAACCGGTCATCTTTTTTCTTGCAATTTAAACCTTTTTTGAATTCTTTTCTTTTAGCTGCTTAAATCAAATGCAGATTAAGAAGGGAACAAGGTAGGCTGAGGGTAGTAGGGAGATAATCTGGGGTTTCCTACATGCTTTCTGCTTAATTTTCATTCAAGACCATGCTAGTGTGATGAGCCCCAGAATGCAGCTGTCCTTTGGTGGCTTAAAAGCTTATGCTCTTATCGGAGAATTTCCTATGTCTTGTTACATTACTTTACCAAAATGAATAACATCTCCTCAAGCAACTGCTAAGGTATAAGGGAAGGCTTTATGAGAGACTGCTCAGTGGTGAGGATAGTAATGATGGGTCAAGAGAGAAAGAGGATTGCTTTTTATTCACAAATATTTGATTAGTTTCCTTTCCTTTGGGTTTTTTTTTTTTGTGTGTGTGTGTGTGAAAAGTATTGGTCTAGGTGCTTAGAAGAATATGTATGAATAAAACACAAAAATCGGTGTTGTAGAAAGGTTCCAAAGGTGAACATAAAATCAGTTGTTTTACAATAAAAATATTTTTGTTAACATTTGGAGGGCAGAAATATTTTAAGATGTATTAATAATTAAGCCAATCAAGGATTAGGAATTATGACATTTTATAGCATGCTTGGTGAGGAAAGATGTTAATGATGTTTGAATTAGGGGAAAGAGACCAAGAGGTGGGAGGTGGAGAGGGAAGGAGGAGGTGCTGGGGAGTGATATTGGCCAAATTATGTTGTTATATTGTGTGCACGTGTGAATATGTAACAACAAATCCCATAGTTATGCATAACTATAATGCAACAATGAAAATGTGGATAAAGAATAAAACTGGTTTTGATATTAAAAAATAAAAAAACAAGTTATAGGACTTAAAAAAAGGAGTAAATGTAATAAGTTTGGCTTTGATAAGAAGTTTACATTTTCAAAAGATAGACTGAATATTGAAAGGCATTAAATTTTTTCCTTTTGGTTTGAAATTTTCTAGAAAATGTTGATGAGGCTGTGAGAGTCTAAGATAAATTGTGTGCTATAAAATTTACAAGTGTTGTTTGACAGCAGTCATTCTCCAAGAAGTAATGGAAATCTCTTGAATTCTTCACTCGTTGGTGTTTCTCAGTGGAGCAGGAGCGATGTCCTTAAGAAGAGTTAGAGGGAGCAGTGGCAGGAAGGGTAGGAAAGCGTGACACTGGCTTGAAGATGGTGCTCTCCGCACACCTACGTGGCAGGGTTGCCTGGTGGGTGGAAGGGTTATGTGAGGACATTCTGTGGCAGAAAACTGAAAAAGGTACAGAAAGGAGAGGGTATTTCCCTCACCTTTAAAAATGCAAAGTACTTTAGGAAGAGTCACATCTAAATTTTCTTATAAACATCTTAATATCATAGGAAAGAAAGCCACCTAAAATTGTATCTTAAAAATGGTTCTATTTTAGTATATTTAAATTCCATATTAAAATGCTAGAAAGAAAAAAAAAAGCACAGCTCTTAAAAGACATAGAGGGGGGAAAAAAAGACAGAGAAAATTTAGAAATCCCCAGAGTGAATTCAGCAAACTGTTATTGAAAATCCAGCTTGTGTCCAGCACTTTGCAAAGACCTCTTGATTAAAAAAAGTAGGCTAAAGTCCATCTCTAGTTCCCAAAGAACACACAGTATAGTAAAAGGCAGGGGTAGGAGGTGGGAACCATTATACACAACACCAGATAAACACTGTTCAAGGTTATAAATGGTCGATAAGGTTGATTTCCTCAAATTTCAATGGAGAGGTTAGCTGGTTCTCAGTATTATCAGGTTTTTCTCTCTTTTCCTCTTTTTACCTTTATGACATTTTTGTGATCTTACAGTTTAAATTGTAAATCCTCTCAAATCCTTTTGAGATGTATCAAGATGTAGTTTTAAAAAAATTAGTAAAAATCAGGTGTGGTGGAGCATGCCTGTGATGCCAGTAGGTTGGGAGGCTGAGGCAGGAGGATCACAAATTCAGTCAGCCTCAGCAATTTAGTGAGGCCTTGAGCAAGTTAGTGAGACCCTATCTCAAAATAAAAAAAGAAAAGGGCTAGGGATGTGGCTCAGCAGTTAAGTGCTCCTGAGTCCAATACTTGGTACAAAAAACCCAAAATTCTTTGATACAATAAGATTTTAATACACAAATCATAGTTATAGTAATCTTACTGTTATATAAAATCACCTCTCAAAAAATGGGCTATTCAGAAGAAGGCTTGGAGTGATCTGGAGGGGTAGGCAAGGGTCAGGATTTTTCCTTATTTGAAGAGATGATGACTTGGCAATTTCCTTACAGTCATGTCACTTAGCCTCCTGTTCTTTTTATTCCAGCTGAGGGATAAAGAATTAGGCCAGGACTGGGAAGAGAGGGCGTCAGTGAAGATGGAGCACCTTCCATGTAAGGAGGTGAGTGCAAGTAGTTCTAGGGATACAGGGTGGGAAAATAAGGCCCATCTAGGCAATGAGGGTCCCAGATGGTTAAAAAGATGTCTAATCCCAGGGATTAAGGTCAAAGATGAGATGTCACTCAGTGGCTCCAAAGAAGGATCCGGTGAGTATAACCCAGATATTTCTATTTTAAAAAGTTAAGTCAAGGGGCTGGAGTTGTGGCTCAGCCGTAGAGCACTCACCTAGCATGTGCAAGGCGCTGGGTTCGATCCTCAGCACCACATAACAATAAATAAAATAAAGGCATTGTGTCCAACTACAACTAAAAAATATTAAAAAAAAGTTAAGTCAGGGAAAATCTTCTGTTCAGACCTAATGGAACATGGTTGCTCTAATCACAACACTTAGGACACCAAATGTGTGGGTTTTCCACACCAGGAATTTCTCCTCTTCACTTCAGACACCAACAGCACATCAACGATTCAATTCAATTCTAACTTTCCAGATTTATGGCATACCCCACAGGTTGGAGTTCAATCCCACAAGACTGTCCCCCACTTTAGATGCCATTGCAAAAAGCGTATTATAGATGCTTCTGTACAGTTTGGCTCTATGACACATTCCCCTCCTCTGGTTCAAAAATTTGCTGTGAACTGCTCAAAGAACTCAGGGAAACATGAATATTAGTTTATTATAGGGGATTTTATAAAGGATATAAATAAACAGTCAGATGAACAGGTATGCAGGGCAAGATCCAGAAGGGTTTAAACTATAAATTGTAATTGTTTTGGACCCATGGAGTTTGGGATATGTCACCATGTTGGCTAGTGGATACATTTACCAACCCCAAATGATCTCCCAATCTCTTTGTTTAGGATTTTTATGTAAGTTCCATTTTGTAGATATGGTTAATTAACTGGTGTTTGCCTTAACCTCTAGCCCCACTCTATCCCTGGGAATGGGGGTGAAAGATCTACCCTTTCAATCACATGGTAGAGTCTTCTGGCAACCAGCCCCCATCCACCAAGTGTCCTCAGCATAGACTCAGGTATGGTTAGAAATGGTTTGATATTAATGACAAAAGATGTTTTCTCACTCTTATTTCTTTTTCTTTTCTTTTTTTTTTTTTTGTTGGTCGTTCAAAACATTACACAGTTCTTAATACATCATCTTTCACAGTTTGATTCAAGTGGGTTATGAACTCCCAACTTTACCCCGTATACAGATTGCTGTGTCACATCAGTTACCCTTCCATTGATTGACATATTGCTTTTCTAGTGTCTGATGTATTCTGCTGTCAGTCCTATTCTCTACTATCCCCCCTCCCCTCCCCTCCCCTCCCCTTTTCTCTCTCTATCACTCTTATTTCTTTAGGAAATTTCTATTGTTTTATTTAGAAGCTGTTTTGGGAGCTGGGGAAAAGGACCAAATATATATTTCTTATTATATCATAAGAAAGGATAAGAAGCAAAACTGTTAAGATGAACAAGTACTGACAGGAATAAAGATCATGGGTTCTGGGCTGGGGCTGTAGCTCAGCGGCAGAGTGCTTGCCTAATATGCATGAAGCACTGGGTTCAATCCTCAGCATCAAATAAAAATAAACAAATAAAGTAAAGGCATTCTGTCCATCTACAACTATTAAATAAATAAATAAATAAATAAGATCATGTGTTCAAAGGGACCAAATTATTTGTATGGTTTTAAATTTCTTTTATCCTGAATTTCAGGCTTAGGGATGTAACTCAATAATAGAGCACTTGAATAGCAGTATAAAGGCCTGGGTTCAATCCCCAGCACCATAAAATAAAAACAAACAACAATAAAGAAGCAGCATCTATGAAGGCTGAGGCAGGAGAATCACTTGAACTCAGGAGTTTGAGACCAGCCTGGATAGGGTTAACACAGTGAGATTCTGTCAAAATAATAATAATAATAATAATAACAACAACAACAAAAACAATAATATAGTTATTGAGATTTTTATGATAAGCATTGTTCATGGATAATTTTCTATTTATATCATTCAGTTTAGTAAAAACTTCTTTTATACAAAAAGAAAAACTGAATTGTATGCTAAATGTTCTGAGAGGTATGTATGGGGAAGGTCAGTGGGAATACAGCAGTTTCCTGACCCTCACCTTATGTTTGAAAGTTACATTTGAGAACTATATTTTTTTCTATACATAACAAATTTAAACATATTTGGTTTAATTTATAAAATAGGCATAGAAAGAGATTAACAATAATAAGTCATAACAAAACAACAATTATAAGAAAAGTTAGGTGAATATGCTCTCTTTCTCTCTTGAAATATCTTATTGTACTTTTACCTTTTCACTTAAAGCTGCACTTTGCAGCTTCTCTTTGGCATATTTGAATTACCAGCATCACTACTCTTGTGGGGCCACTATTAAGCAAAATGGGTCTTACTGAACACGCTGAGATACAGTAACAGATAAGGGGGTTACTGAATATTATTTCATCCAAGACTCTATTGTCTCCATTAGTGGCAACTACACAAATTGCAGGCATAGTGATCTTGTATGAAAAGAAATAACCAGCCTTGCAAATCAACCTACTAAGCTGCACTAACCATCCAATTGTGGCGGGAATTGGTTGGTAACCACTTCAAATCAAGAATGGAACACATTATAATTGTTTATTTCTCTTTCTTTCATTATGTGAGAGCAGGGACTCTATTTGATTTATTTTAAGTTATGTAACTAGAACCTAACACTGTATGACACATAGTCGGTTTTCAAGAAAAATTATTAAATGAATGAATAACTCTGGTGAAGGGAGAAGTAGAAAGGGAGAAAAGCCAAGAAAGAAAATGGAGAAAACTGAATTGTAATTATTTTCCAAGAATCATCCTTGGCATGGGTGACTCCATGTAGAATGGCATATTAAGTAACAAAGAGTGTCTTAATTTCAGTTTTCCCAAATTGCAGATTTATCTTTCCATTGATGGCATGTTTCTTAAAAACAATGTTAGATATTTGAATGATACGTTCCTTTTTAGTCTAGGACTAAGACTTTGGAGAAAATATGTGGAGTTTCAGTCCAAAATATATTTGAATCACCTAAAATTCATCAAATAAAATAAGACTATTGCCTCTAGGGAAACCTTGGCATGCAGTATTACTGTCCATTTGATATAGAGTGGGTAATGTAGCACCTTTCTGAAAGTGCCTATTTAATTCATCTGAATTAAGTGGGAATAACTGACAGGAGAGTTTTAACCACAGAGGTAAAGTAACTGTCTGAATTGCAAAGCCAAGAATGAGTCCAGGTTAATGCACACACATTAAGAAAGGCACTGCAAAGATGTGAAGTAGGGGCCTTGAAAAGGATCAAGGATTAGTGCTTTAAAATCGTGATAGCACAGAGAAAAAGGCATTAGGAACTTATAGCCATTTTCTAAAGCAACCATTCTCACCCTGAGTGCAAAGGATGCCTTTCAGCTCGAGTGACTTTTGCCGTTGCCTGGTGCCAGAGAGCTGAAGCCTTGGCAGTCAGCTGCACACAGCTTCTTCCCTGCAGGAGTGCCAGCAAGGAGAGACTTCCAGAGCATGTCTGCACAGGAGACCTGAATGCTTAGGCTCCTTAGGTTCTAAATAAGGAGATTCATTCTGACTAAGAATCCTCCTTAGTCAATCCTTGATGAGTACAGAGATGGCAGCCCTGTTGATTTCATTATGTTATTTAAAAGAGTGTGTTGAAGAAAATGTTAATAGGTCCCCATGACTGATGATATGAATGATATGCATTATACCATAAGAAAAGGTCAATTTTTGCATACCTCATATTATCATCAATCCCTCTATTTTGTATACTATCAGCTTGACCTCTTTAGGCCCTCCCAGAATTTCAGGATACAGTTTCAGACATCAAAGAAAAAAAGAAGGATTATTTTTCAATGACAAGTAAATGAATAAAATAGCTTGACCATTGCCTCTCGGCAAATGCACAAAAATTTTTAGACAGTAAATAAATAGAAGGTTGTTTTAAAGTGCAGTCCACCCGGAGAAGTAGTCTGGAGATAAACACAAGAGCAAGAAGGATGGTTGAAAAGGAGAAGAAATCTGGACAGGATATTCTTCAACCCTGTGTCTCCAAGTGTGGTCTGTGGACCAGTGCTGTCCACAGCCCCTGGCAGAAATTCAGTCCCTCTCATTCCCCTAACTGACTGAATCACAATCTGAATGTTGATTCTCAGGTGATTTATATGTACACTGAGGTTTGAGAGCTTAGTTGACTCTTGGAGACCTGAGAGGCAGGGATCTGAGAAAACCTGCATTCTATGGGGGTTTTCAAACTTTTCTATATATGAAAAATTGTTAAATAGGCAAGTTCAGGGCCCAGATCAAAAAGATTCTGTTTCCATGTGCTTGTGTGTACCTAGAAAATTTGTATTTCTAATAAATTTCCCAGGGCTTCAGATATTTATGGTCACTGACAACACTTTAAGAAACCTCTGTCATGGATATCAAGATCTCACAAAGGAAGGGAAAATCTGTTGAAACAGTAAGCCTTAAAAGCCTTCCTCCTCAGAGTATTTGAGACAGGAGAAATGGTTACAGGACCCCACGTCCTGCTCTTTCTAACTTTATGTTCTAGTCACGCTGAGCTCTTTGTGCTTTCCTCAACTCACTGCATGCTTTGCTATCCTGTTTGCTCTGCTCTGGTTTCACAGTCAGAAGGGCCAAATTTGGATCACTGTGTAAGGCATGTACAGTACTAGTTTTGTGACCTCAGGCAAGCGATTCACAATCTCTGACACTTGGATTCCTCATGTGCAAAATAGGCCCTGTAGTACGTGCTTTGTGGGATTATTGCCACAATGACAAGAGAAACGGCCTGTGTAAACTATGTAGCATATTATTCAGCATGTAGCAGACATGGTTTTTTCTTCTTTTCAGGTTGAAGAACTACTTTTTTTCCTCTAAAACTTAGTTGTTCTTTGTAGGGTTCCTTGACAATCTCCCCTTGCTGCGCTCTCAGAGTACTTAAAA